ATGAGGCTCAGAGAAGTAGAAAATTGTCCAAGGTCAACGTCTAGTGGTTGGTAGAACAGATATTTGAATCATCGCTATTTATTCTATTTATAAAGTATTTGTTGAGCACCAGTTATGTGCCAGGTATTGTTTACGGGGAAACAAACTAGACAAATTTCGTACTCTAATAGCGCTTACATTCTAATAAGGAGAGAAAACGCAAGAAACAAAACATATATATGACAGGTGTTGTACAAAAACAGGTAAAGAAATGGGTGAAAATAAAAGAAAGCTCTTGAGGGAGGATGGTCAGGAAAGATGTCTCTTTGGGGAAGTGACATCTGAACAGAGACCTGGATAAAGTGAGGAGGTGAGCCATATAAATATGCAGGTAAAGAGCAAAGAGCCCAAGGTAAACAACCTTTGACATATCTGGGTGACAGCAAGGCAGCAAGTACGGCTGGAACCCAGAGAGTGAAAGTCATAGATTTTGGAGTTGAGGTCATAGATAGGGAGGAACACCACAGGGACCCTGCAGGCCAGTGGAAGTGTTCGGATTTTACCCTGCGTAAGGTGAGAAGCCATTAGTAGGTTTGAACAGAGAGAAACGGTCTAACTTAGGTTTCCACAGAATCACTCTGGCTAGTACAGAGAGGAAAGCCTGAAGAGGGTCAAGAGTGGACATAGAGAGATCTGTTTGGAGCTCTCTCTTGGCCAAGCTATGGAGCCTGGTTATTTGGTCAGGTACTAGTCTAGATGTTGCTGTAGAGATATTATTTTAGATGCAATTAACATTTTAAATCAGTAGAATTTAAATGATTAAGGTGGGCAGACTTCATCCAATCAACTGAAGGTCTCAAGAGCAAAGACTGCCCCAACCCGTGTGGCTCAGTTGACTGGGCCTTGTCCCACAAAGCCAGAGGTGATGGGTTCACTCTCCAGTCGGGCACATGCCCATGCAGATTCGGTCCACCCTGAGGCATGGGCGGGAAGCAACTGATGGAGATTTCTCTCTCACGTCGACCTTTCTCTCCCTCTCTTTCTTCCCCCCTTCTCCTCTCTCTAAAAATAAATAAATAAAATCTTAAAAAAAAAAAAAAGAGCAAAGACTGAAGTCTCCTAACAAAAAAGAAATTCTGCCCTCACACTGCAGCACAGAAACCCTGCCTGAGTTCCCTGCCTGCTGGCCTCTCCGGCAGCTTCAGACTCGAGATTGCAATATCAGCTCTTATCTCAATGTCCAGCCTGCCACTTCCTTAAAATCAATCTAGATAGACAGACAGACAGACAGACAGAGATCTATAATAGAATAGGACATTTATCTCTCTCACCTATTGGTCTGTTTCTCGAGAGAATCCTGACTAATACAAGGCTGTTGCAATAATCCCTGGGAACAAAGATCAATGACGATGGCTCGGACTTAACAGCAGTGGGGATGGTGAGATGTGAGTAGAGTCTAGAAATATTGCGAAGGTGGAGTTACTGGATTTGGCCGTGAATTGAATTTGGCTAGTAGAAGAAAAAGAGGCATCGAGAATGACTCCCGTATTTTTGGCCTGAGCAACTGGATGAATGGTAGTGCCCCCAGCTGTTAGGGGAGAAGCTGAGGAGCTAGATCTGTGAGTCCACAGCTGAGAGAAGAGGTCAGGCTAGGGAGTGAACAGGGCACCTAGTGGTGATTTTGAAGCACATGAGACTGGATAGGATCATCAGCCTTGGTGGCTGTAGACAAAGGAAAGTGGTCTGAGGACTGAGGCCTGGAGCCCCTGGGGCGTTCTAAGATCTAGAGGTCAAAAACAGAAAGAAAACCCAACTAAGAAAACTGAGAGGATGGGCCAATGAGACTGACAGAAAAGCTGGAGGACATGCCTCCCAGACACTAAGGAGAGAAAGTGCTTTATTCCAAGGACAGAGTGGTCAGCTGTGACAAATGCTCCTGGGGAAATGGCCAGTTTGAAGTCAGGGAGAGTCACAGGCTCAGGGCACCATGGTGGCAGGCACTTAACAGGAAACCCTGTGTGGAGAAAGGAGCAGCCCAAACACACACACAGGCCACCTGTCCTTCACTCTGACGGAGGCTTCCACACAGAGACCAGAGTCACAGCTGCTTCCCACGTTCCTAAAGAAGGGAGTGTCCTGAGAGGCATCAGTGTACAGTGGCTCAGTGGGTGCAGCAGCAAGGGTTTATGTCTGGTTTTGATGGATGATGGGTCATTCGTGAAGCGCTTAGAAAGACATGGATTGAAATGTGAATTTGCGCCGTGTTAGGTCGATAAGAAAATCACACTTGTTCCCAGGAAAACAGAGACATACGATGAGCCCTGGCAGGAGGGGCTGGAAGGTGGACAAGGGAATGAGACCATGGCCACAGGGGTCTCCAAAACCTGCAAGTTTCTTTCTTGTCCCTTCGTGTAGGGTCAATGCGACTTAACTTGCTCTGGTGGAAAGAACAAGGATTTGGGGAGTCAAGCAACCTCATGAGAAACTCAAAAGCTGGAGGCTGATCATCTTTTCACAAATGAGAACGTGAGGTCACAGGGGTGATGTCACTTGCCCACGGTCATACATTTGGTCAAACCCAGTTCTGGACAGATGGCACATCGTAGTGTTCGGGCTGCGCAGGACTAAGATGAGAACTGTTCCGGCTGTAGGTTCAGAGACGGGGTTTGCCAGGGAGGACCCCATGGAGAAGGAGAGGCAGGACCCCCACCACCTGACTCTGTGGCCCCGCAGGCCAGGCTCACGCTGGTCACCTGTTGCAGGCTCCGCTGGGGTGGGATTTTGTAAGTGTGAACTCACAGCGGCCACTATGAGGTCGTTCATTGTTTCTTCTACTTACTGATGAGGAAGCAGAGGCTCAGGGCGGCGCTGGTGCTTTAGTGGTGAGCCGAGCTGCCTTCCACGGAGCAGAGGCTCATAGAAGCCAAGTAACGTGTCTGAGAACAAACAGCTGAAAAGTCATTTAAACCCAGAGCTTCTTCCCTCCAAGGCCTGAATTCCTCTTTCTGTGACACTGTAAGCTGAGTAGAGGCGAGAATTCCAAATATAGAACGTGCTCACCCCTCTTGCTCTCACAGTAACTCTAAAAAAATAATATAAACGGAGCCACTTTAAAGCAGAGCCAGAGCCGCGGCCCGAAGCTGCCATCCCAGAGGAGCTGCCTCACATGTCTTCCGCGTCCAACCTTTGGAACAGTGAGACGGGGCGCAATAAACCGTGGACTCAGCCTCCAGCGACACCGTGTCCCAAAGAACTGTTTGCGGAGATAACAAGAAAGCAGATCATCGTGATTGCCAGGCTAAACATCAAAAACTGTTTAGAATTTACATCCCTATGTTATGTTATCTGCCCTGATAGAAATGCCTTCCCTCTTGATGTAATCGTTCCCCTTCCTTTTCTTGTAAATACCCCTCACCTTTGTCTCCTAATTAGAACATTATTTGGGTTTCTGTCTCAGTCCGTGCTTCCCAAAGTAACTATTCTTTGATCTCAAATAATTGCTTGTTGCCTCTCTCTTTGAAAGGGCTTTTATTGTTAGGTGAACACGATATTAAACATGGTGCTCGAGCTTGTTGGGCCTTAGGTTACTCATCTGTGAAATGAAGACAACCATTACATTCATCCTATAGAATTAAACAGGATTACGCCCACAAAAACAGCATTGCGCCTAACACACAGTGCAGGTTCAAGAAATTAGAGTTATTGTAACTGATGACGATTTTCAGCTCACGGATGATAAAGCATGTAGGAGTCCAATAATGTCTTCATACTCTAAGGAGTAAAGGCTGAAATCTGGATTCAAAGCAAAACAGAGGAAATACCCAAGTTAAGAAAGGAGATGAGCACTGCAGCTGGTAGAAAGCGTCTGTGAGAGCATGAGATGAGATTAGTTAGGCCTGCGTGAGGACAGTTGGTCTGAGGGAGCATGATGAGATGTTAGGCACAGGGTGGAGAGTGGGCCTTCCCTGCCTAGCTGGCCTTTCTGGGCTTCAAATCAATGTTATTGTGGGTGCCTACCATGTACCAGGCTCAGTGCCCAGCAGAACGAGGGCTGGCACAGGTACTGTTTATAGCTGCCTGGGCAGGCAGTGGTGATAACACCTTGTAGACTTTACCCTCTTGTCCCTGACCCAACCTTCAACCACGGAGGCATGGGTTACGCATTGCCTAGAAAGCAACGGTGAGCGTAAGGGCCCTGCGACGGCGCCTGTGGCCTAGGAGGAGAGGGCGAGCTCCAGCAGGCCCCATCGTTCTCACAGCAACCTCACGCAGTGGGCTCTGTCATTCTGCTCATTCGATGGAAGAAGGAACTAAGGCCCAGTCAGAGTTGATGTGACTTGTCCCAGATGACACAGCTGCAGCAGACTTTGGACCAAGTCAATCAGACTCCAAGGCCAGGCTCTTTCCTCCATGCTGGGAGAGGCTATTGGCTTCTGAAAGGTACAGACGGGTGAGTTGAGTCAAACATGACTCGAGGGCATGCAGGAACACATAGGAGATGCTGGCAGAGGCAGGCGGAGAGCCTGGGTCCAGACTAACCAGAAGGATGGTTCTTAGAATAGAGCTGGGAAGAGTGGAGGAAGAGATGTGGAGCTCGGGGCACAGAGTTCTGCCTCTGCCTACGTTGCCTGGGGCCAGCCTGTCTGTCTGCATCTTTTCCCCAGAGAAGAACCATGGGCTGACCTGGTCAAAGAAACCTGAGTCCCTGCTTTGCCACGAGTGCCATGACCTGGGACAAGTCACTTTAACTCCCTGTTTGTAAAATTGTCTCCCTATCACTTCACGTGGTTGAGTATCTCGAGAAGTGAAGAAATTGGTGTGGTCCAAGGCCCTTCCCCACAACACACGCTTGGGCCCTGGGCCACCCTGCCTTCAGTCCCTTCCTGGGAATACACTCTAGGCTTGTGACAAAGCCAGCCAGGTGCCAACCCCACCCCAGCTGGCCAGTTAATGAGTTACCAGGGTGCTGGAGTGTGGCTTATAAAAGCTGCTGGCCAGGGAAGCAGGTGGCAGTTGGGTGGATGGCTATGGTGGTCTACGGTGGGGGCAAGATGGGTGGCAGGACGATGTCAGGGCTTCTGTCTGGAGTGGCTGTGGTCCTCCTGGTGGTCCTGCAGAGCACACAGTCAGTCTATATCCAGGTGAGTCCTTCCGGCCAGCATGGCCTTTGACTAAAGGTTCCCATGGTGGGAGGCTGGGATGAAGAGGGAACACTGGGAATTCATGGGGTTCAGGGGGCATAAGGCTTAGGATTCAGCCCGATACCCAGTCACAGCCCAGGAACAAAGACAGCTGGTGGGTGTGTAGGCAGCTGTCATCCCTATCAGATGGTGACATCAATAATAATAGGCCGCTGCTATTCGTCATTGCTCTCCTTAAAGACCCATCCTGGTCAGAGGTCAGAATGTGGAACAAGACGTGCTGACTGTCCTTGAGACACCCGGAACAGGGAGAGGAGGCCCCTGTGTGCTCCCATAGCTCTGCATATGCACCCACATATGGGTTCAGGGCAGGGGATCGCCAGAAAACCTTTCCCTTTTTGGTAACTTGAGCGGATGTTGCAGGACCAGCAGGCAGTAGCCAGGCACAAAGGACTCGGACTGCTCCAGACAGAGGGCACAACATAAGAAAAGCCCAGAGAGAAGACAGCAGGGAAGGGGATTGGGGGAGGGGGGCATCTGGGCACAGCAGGGGGTGCCTTGAAGCAGGGGGTGCCTGTGAGGCTCAAGGAGTCACAAAAGCAGGGCCTGTCTGTGATGTGACAGGACGCCACTGGCCTCCCCAGCATGTGCAGGGACATCTGTAGCTCAGGGCGTCTCACACTGCTGACTCGGGCAGGGCTCCCTGAAAAGGAGGTCCTGCAGAGGGCTACAAGGCAGCCTCCACCTCCCCTTCCAGCCCTGGCCTTGGGCCCGGCCAGCTTGGAGTTGCCATCATTTTGTCATGTCGGTTCAGGGGAGGTCACCCAGTTACGGAGGATGCCAGGCACTGGGGAGGAGGGGACAGGATTACCTCCATTTGGCAGAGGAGGCTCAGAGCAGGGGAGACTCAGGCACCTGGTGGGGAAGAGCTGGGATTTGAACCGGGGGCCCGCTGATCTCCAAAGCCCATGCCTTGAACCACCGTGCTCCACAGCCTTGCTGTGACCGCCTCTGGCAGTTCCTGGGGGCCTGTGGCACCGGGGTGTGAGGAGTCAGATACCACCTCGCACAACCCAGGCTGTCTTTCATGTGTGCCAGATCCAGCTGATTCCACCCTAGGGGGCAAGAACAGGAAAGGCTCCCAGGGTCTTAAGAAGCCCTGCTCTGCCAGTCTGGAGTTCGATACCCTCCCCTCTTATCCCCCTTCTTCTGCCCCTAGTACCAGGGCTTCCAGGTCCAGCTGGAGTCCGTGAAGAACCTGAGTGACCTGGAGAGGCAATTGGTGGTCAGCCCCCGCCTGCACGCTCAGATCTCCCTGCCCATCTCGTGCTACCACACGGCCCTGCCACTGGACCTCAAGTCCATCTGCAGCTCCAAGGAAGCCACCAACATCTTCCAGGCCTTGAGTGAGTGTCCCTACCCCTGCGGAGCTTCCTGCCCCATTCTCTGCTCCCAGCTCCAGTTCATGTTCATTCACCTCCTGATACATTTATTGAGTACCCAGGGGCTAAGGACAGGGAGATTCAAGAAACTCAATCCCCCACCTCTCGCATTTTGGCATCAAAAGCCAGGCATGAGGAAGCCCCTCAGCTCCCAACAATCTGAACCAGCTGGTCATCCCACGTCAAAGACTTCACAGAGCGGGGGAAGGGACCCTGGGAAAGGGACCCATAAGCAATGACTGAAACGCAGTGCGATAATGGGAGAGCACAGTGGGGACACAGAGCAGAGATGACTCATGTCTGGAGAGGTGTAGAGTTTTAAATGTTTCCAAGAGGAGGTGACATCTAAGCCGAAATGTAAGGGATGAAGCAGAGCCAGTCAGGAGAATATAGGGACTAGCTGCTATTTATTGAGCACCTACTCAGCGCCAGGCCCCATGTTAGTCCTTTTGCCTGCATTCCCTTCTCACAACCACCCTGTCAGGCTGATGCTGCCCGTTTAGGAGACAGGAAAACTCAGGCACAGAGTTTAAGTGACTTGCCCAGGCACTGCTAGGAAGGAGAGGATCTGGGACTTACGCCCAAGATGCTCACCGTGCTTCTAAAATTTCATGCTCTTAATCTATGAGAAAGGTGCCAACCCATCCTCAGGGCCTCTCCTAGCCTCAGGGCCTTCTCTGGCCTCCTGGACAGCAGCTCCCTGGGCCGTAGGCGTTGCCGGTTCTGGTTCGGCTGACCGGTTTTCTCCCCTGCCCAGAGACCATCGCTAGCGACGACTGTGAGCTGTGTGTGAATGTTGCCTGCACCGGCTGCATCTGGAAACCCTGAGCCCACCCTGGACACCTTGGCCACCCACACCACTGCCCTCGCAGCCCCCATCCCCATCCAGGCTCTGGCGGTGCCCTAGCCACCTCGGTCATTGCCATCCTCCCAGGGCCCAATCAGCCAGATCTGGCACAGAGCAGCTGGACACACAGTCCCTGCTGCTGAATAAAGATTCTCCTCTCACACAGAACCAGTCCGTTTATTCATCCCCGGCAGCCATGGGCAGGGCTTCCGGGGCAGGTCGAGGACAAAGTTTGGACTAGCGTCAGGAACTTCCCTGGTTTCCAGCACCCAAGGGGTTGGTTCACGAAGCCTTATTTGGTACAGAAGGGAAGGAGGCTTGGGGGGGGGGGGGACAGTAATGAGGCACCCAAGGTGGCAGAGCTGAGAAGCCACAGAGCACCCATCTACGCAAAAGCTGAGCTCAAAGCCCAGCCCAGCTGCAGAGCCAGAGCCGCTGCACACCTGCCAGAGTTGGGGTCGGGGGAGGGCACAGGATGGGGGAGCTTCCCCTGATAGTTAGATCAGGAGTCGTGGAGCAAAAGATCACGGGCGCCCCCTCCCCAGTCCCGTCATAGGGCTGACTCCCCGGCGTGCCTGAGAAATGGGCCTTTATCCTTCACCCTCTACGCCTTGAGCACCTCTCCTCCTCGGGCTCCCCAGGGCCATCTGCCCAGCTCCAGATAGAAGATCTTTCCTCTCTCTTTCCATCCTGATGGCCCTGAAGAATATTAATAACAATAGCCACTGTTGATTGAGCTTTTGCTGTACTCTAGGCACTATTCTGAATCCTTTGCCCATATGAACTCACTACGCCCTGCAACATTCTAATGAAGCAGGTACTATTATTATCGCCATCTCCACATGCAAATAAGGAGCCCCAGGTATGGAGGTGACCAGTCCAGGATCACAGGCTCAGCAAAGTGGTGAAGCAGGATTCTTCCCAGAAAGTCTGGGCCAGAGCCCATGCTCTGAAACCATGTTACTCTCTCCCTGTGACACCTGGCCGCCGGGCCTTGTGCCACCGCATTCTTGCAGTGGCCTTCAGTGCCTTACCTCAAGGCAGAGAACCATGCTGAGGCAGGGCCTTTCCACAGCATGGGCTCTTCCCCAGCCTCTGTGCGGGGCAGTCAGGGAGGAGGAAAGCCAGGTACACAGGGCCCGGCCCTCTGAACTCCGCTCACTCCGGGCCAAGGCCAGGATGAGTTCCCCCAGACCAGGGGCCCCTCCTGACTACCCAGTCCCGCTCACCAGGCCTGCAGTCTCCTAGTCTGCTGGGCCACAAACCCCAGAGCTCCAGCCCTCTCCTCCTCCTGCCCCCACAGGCCAGATTGGCTGGAGCCTGTGCATTGCTTCCTGCGTCCTTCTGGGCTCCTCTTGTCCCTTTACAATCACTCCTGGTGGGCCCCTGAGCCCACGACCCCAGAGCAGGCCAGAGCTTCCTCTCTGCCCTGCTTTCCCTACCTGCCACCGCAGAGGGACATCCCGTGCTGCTCTGTCAGTACCTGCTGCCCTTCCGTGGCTCCCCAGTGCTGCCTCTCACGTCTAAACTGAGCTGGTCAGCCACCGGGCCTCATCTCTTACCAGTCCCTTCAGCTATCCTGGGTTCCCACCGGCCTGGGGAGGAGGCATGAAGGAAACTGCCACTGGCCAAGCATCTTGTGTGCACCAGACACAAGGCGGAGCCATCCCCACAGAAATAATAACAATAGCAGCATCAACAAAGTGCTCACTATGGGTCTAGCTGGTGTAGCTCTAACAGGTTTTCCTGTATTACCTCATTTAATCTTCATTCAAGCACATTTTATTTAGGGGTAAAAATAAAAGCTTTAAAACAACTCATTTCCTTTTTTTAATTTATTTTTTCTTATTTTATTGATTATGCTATTAGAGTTGTTCCATTTTTTTCTCCTCTTTATTCCCCTCCTCCTCACACGCCTCCTCCCGCCAGCTTCCCCCGCTCCCCTTAGTTCACGTCCATGGGTCGTACATGTAAGTTCTTCGGCTTCTCCATTTCCTATACTATTCTTAACCTCCCCCTGTCTGTTTTGTACCTGCTATTTATGCTTCTTAGTCCCTGTACCTTTTCTCCTATTCTTCCCCCTCCCCCTCCCCTCTGATCTCCATTTCTGTGATTCTGTTCCTGTTCTAGTTGTTTGGTTAGTTTGTTTTTGTTTTTGTTTTAGGTTCAGTTGTTGATAGTTGTGAGTTTGTTATCATTTTACTGTTCAGAGTTTTGGATCTTCATCTTTTTCTTAGATAAGTCCCTTTAACATCTCGTATAATAAGGGCTTGGTGATGATGAACTCCTTTAACTTGACCTTATCTGGGAAGCACTTTATCTGCCCTGCCATTCTAAATGATAGCTTTGCTGGGTAGAGTCATCTTGGGTGTAGGTCCTTGTCTTTCATGACTTTGAATACTTCTTTCCAGCCCCTTCACGCCTGCAAGATTTCTTTTGAGAAATCAACTGATACTCTTATGGGAACTCCTCTGTAGGTAACTGTCTCCTTTTCTCTTTCTGCTTTTAAGATTCTCTCCTTAGCCCTGGCTGGTGTGGCTCAGTGGATTGAGTACTGGCTGGTGAACCAAAGGGTGGCTACTTCAATTCCCAGTCAGGGCACATGCCTGGGTTGCAGGCCAGGTCCTCAATAGGGGGCGTGCAAGAGGCAACCACACATTGATGTTTCTCTTTCTTCCTCTCTTCCCCTCTAAAAATAAATAAAATCTTTCTAAAAAATACAAGTTTAAGATTTTCTCCTTATCTTTAATCTTGGGTAATGTAATTATGAAGTGCCTTGGTGTGTGCTTCCCTGGGTCCATCTTCTTTGGAACTCTCTGAGCTTCCTGGATCTCCTGGAAGTCTATTTCCTTTGTCAGTTTGGGGAAGTTCTCCTTCATTATCTTTTCAAATAAGTTTTCAATTTCTTGCTCTTCCTCTTCTCCTTCTGACACCCCTATGATTCAGATGTTGGAACGTTTAAAATTGTCCCAGAGGTTACTAAGCCTCTCCTCATTTTTTTGAATTTTTGTTTCTTCATTCTGTTCTGGTTGAGTGTTTATCTCTACTTTCTGCCCCAAATTGTTGACGTGGGTCCCAGTTTCCTTCCCTTCACTGTTAGTTCCTTGTAAATTTTTCTTTATTTCACTTTGCATAGCCTTCACTTTTTCGACCTTACTCAGCCATTACTGTGAGCATCCTGATCACCAGTGTTTTGAACTGTGCATCTGATAGATTGGCTATCTCTTCATCGCTTAGTTCTATTTTTGGAGCTTTGATCTGTTCTTTCAGTTGGGCCATATTTCTTTTGTCTCAGCGCACCTGTTACATTGTAAGGGACGGAGCCTTAGGTATTTGCCAGGGTGTGGCAACCCAGGTCTCTGTGTTGTGACGCTATATGTGGGGGAGGGGTCTGAGAGAGAACAATGTCACTTACTTGGGCCCCAGCAGCTTTCCGTCACTTCCCCTGCTACCCACAAGCAAATTGGGCCCTACTAGCACTGATTCCTGGGTGGGTGGGTTTGTGTACATTCTAGGACCCTGAGAGTCTTTCCAACAGACTCTCTTATGAGGCTGGGAGTTTCTCCTGCTGTCTCATCCCCCTACAGGTTTTTACAGCCAAGGGTTTTGAGGCTTTCTTTTCCTGCACCGGAACCCTGGATTGTGCGGTCCCCATCTGTTCTTCATGGTTTATCCTCACACAAATGTGGGACTGCCTGACCGTCAGCCGCCGCTTCACCTGCCTGGTCCTCCAGCTGCCGCCTTGCCACACGTCCTATCCGCCCTGGCTGCCTGTTTCGGCCCCTCCTACTGGTCTGAATGGATGTTTCTTCTTTAGCTCCTTGGTTGCCGTACTTCCATACAGTTCGATTTTCTGGCATTCTGGTTATTTTTTGTTTTTAAATTTGTTGTTGTCCTTCTTGTGGTTGTGCAAGGAGGCAGAGTGTATCTACCTACACCTCCATCTTGGCCAGAAGTTGAAAAAACAACTCATTTATTAAAGTTCTAAAAGTAGAATCTGTCCTTCTGTCTTTCCCCATTTTATCATCCCCATTTTACAGATGAAGAAACTGAGGAAACATCCTGAGGCCTAAGTGACCTGCCCAAAGTCTCACAGCTGGTAACGGGCAGAGCCAGGACTCACACCCAGAGGGTTCCAGGGTGGAGCATTAAATGATTCTACTCCACCACACGTCTCATCAAATCCCCCTGCAACCCAGGGAGGCAGGCTCCGCTATTGTCCCCATTTTTGGTTGAGGAAACCAAGTCTCAGAGAGGGGTGCATGGCTTGTAAATGACATACTCAGGCTTAGGCTTAACCCATGTGCCTCCCAGGCTCTACCCTTTCCACATTATCAAATAACAAGAGTTCGTCCACCCAGCACTAGCAGAGCCAAACACAAAACACCAAGAATTACAGTAGAGAACTCGGCTTTTTTATCATAAATGGCACCACCCTGGAGATGAGAAGCTACTGCTCAAAAGCCTGAACCTCCAATGCTGCAGAGGTTACAGATTATATGGGGCCAAAAGGACAACATATTGCGGGTTTGGGGGTCTGGGCCCTTGAGGACAGCTCTGAGGTCCACTCAGACATCTCTGGCATCTCTCCATCCAGTTTCATGAAAAAGTAGCCACGAGGTCGGTCCACCTTAAGGCCCAGAAGCTAAAGCATAACTTAGCTTAACAGAAAACCAGATCTTGTGACCCTTACCCAAGGGATAGCCATTGTTTCTGGCTGCCTCAGGGGGTTAATGACTAGCAGGGGAAAGAGGTAAGGCTTACAGGACATGCTGTGAAGAGACTGAATAGACTGCTGAGCTACACATTAAATAGAAATCACACAATAATTCAGGACCCTCGGTTTCATTCAGCTGAACCGTTCCAGTGCCTTGGGTCTTCCTGCTTCTATGTCTGCCCTCACCAACCCCACTTCCAAATGGGAGCCCCCCTGCCTCCCTATCTCCACACAGGTTTTGAAATTCCACCCATCCCAATGCAAATCCCGAGAGCCACTGCAAATGCCTGCCTCCCCTCCCCTTCACAAAGCCTCCCCTGACTTGAAGGACTACACCTCACCCTCTGATTTCTGCAGCCCACAGAATCCTACTAAGTCACCCCATGGCACGCCCCCTTTGCTCCACTCCCCAAGAAGCTTACCTCCTCTTCCCACCTGCCTCTACCGTTGCTCACAGGCCTCCCTCTGTGCCTCGCCTCATCACCCCTGTCTGAACCATTCTCAGCTTACCCTGGTTCCCCTTTCACTGGTTGGTTTGTTTCTACCACTTACTGAATTCTCTCATGTTTGCATATAGCCTGAACTTTATATATATTACATATACATTTGCATGCAGTATTTCCCCTAGTGCTGGAAGCAGGTACTATTACTATCCCAGTTTTACAGAGGAGGAGGCTAAGACACAGAGAAGGACAGTAACTTTCCTAACATCACACAGCATAGGGAAGACCTGGAACTGGAACTGCACAGCTCCTGCTTTCCTCTTTTCTGCGTTACCATCTCAAGCCATCCTCCACGGGGCGGGCCCCACCCACTCTGGTGGGCAGAGAGACTTTCTCAGGCACAGAAGCCATTATACTTCAGGGTGGCCAGAGCTGTGCAAGGGACGTGGGTGACCAAAACGCCCCCGGAGCACCCAGGACAGAGTCAAGCACAAAGACTTCCTGGGAGGGTGGGGAAAGGCTTCTGAGGAGAGGCCATGGGAGCGCTGGTGCCCCAGTGGGAGCTGACCTGGCCAGGAGCGTGGGAAGACGAACAGTGCAGAGGTGAGAGCGGGCAGAGCAAACGCTGCGAGCTGTGGCTTGGGGCGTGGGCCCCGGCGGGAGGGCAGGCAGCAACGCTGACACGGTCAGTGCGGGCCAGGTCCTGGGGCGCCATGATTACTCTAGAGCTCGGTGCCAATCCCATAGGCCCCCGTGACTCCTATGCCCCTAGCGACTTTGGTGACTCCAGGAGATGTGAAAGAAAAGCAGCAGTTCTACCTCCTCCGTTGGTGGCTGCAGATTCAGGTCCGTCAGTGCCCCTACATGGTGGTTGGTAGCTTAGCAGGGAGAGTGGGGTCCTTGCACTTAGCACACTAAGCCCTGGACTTGTGAGGGCAGTGTAGACGTTCATGAAACTGGGTAATGAGTAGACTGAGAGATGAAGGAATGAATGCAAGCAACACCAGGAGTACTCTGGAATCTGGTTTATTAGATACAGGTTGGAAAAGCTGCCGGCAGCTCGGATGGGGTTAGAATCTGGGTCTCCCCAGGCTGCTCACTCCTCAGTCCTCCATTGGGGGCAGGGTAGAGATTAAGCTGCCGGAGTGGAAACATTCTGTGGGGGAGGGGCAAAAGACAGCGAGCCCCTGCTGTCCTAGCATCCAGTACAGGCAGCGTAGGCACAGATTTCACACGTGCTCGGGTCCTCAGCGATGGCCTCTGGACAGGAGAGATAGGGCCCCATGAGAGCCAGCTTCTCTTCCGCAAATCCCTTGTCCTCCCTTGAGCCACAGCTTGGACATCTGCCACCCAGCCCCCAGGAGAAACTCAGTCCTGTCCTCTATAACCAGCTGGGCTTTCTGCCCCAAACCAAGACACAGGTACTGCTCAAGCCAGCTAATCAGAGCAGAGATTCTACCCAGAAAAGAGCTACAGCTGAGACTAGATGAACCATGACACAGTGCTACTTATGCATCAGTCAGAGCCAGAGCCTTCCTAAAGTAAGCCTTGCCGATCACAGCTGAGGAGAGGGCTTCATATGACCACCAATCTGAGCAGAGCCCCCTAGTCTCACCAATCAGAGCACAGCCCCGCCCATGAATCCCACCAATCAGAACACAGCTCTCCCTCACATGCCACCAGTCAGAATTCCCAAGCCCCACCCATTAGAGAGGAAGCTACTTACCCAGCCTCTGGAGGATCTGCCTGGCATTGCGCTCCTTGCAGAGAGGCTTGAGTTCTTTGGGAAAGTTAGGATAGCTACAGAGGGTGGGAACCACCGGTCTGTAAAAGCTCCTGCCATTGGGCTCCTGGAGATCTTGGAGGTCCTTGAGCTTCTTCACTGCCTCCAAAGGAAAGGAGAACTTTCCATCCTGAGAGAGACATGTCCAGAACATGAGGCCAGGCTGCAGGCTGCTGCCTGACCATTTCCTCCAGGGCTGGTCCCTCTCCAGCCCCAGTGGCTCAAGCAGTATATTTATGGCATATGGGAACCAAACATTCCACTGCAGGGCAAAGTGAGGTGGTTAGAGCTCATGACTGACAGCCATACTCTGGGCTTAAATCCTCGTTTTGTTCTGTGGCCACAGACAGGTTGTTACACTCTGACAGCCTCATATTCCGCATGTTGTGAGGAATGGGGAAAATGGATGTAACATGTCAGAGATGCAATAGGTGCCCAGTATGCGGGAGCCACTGTGCTGACTTTTAGGGAGACGTACAGAGCTGGGACCGGGACCAGGTTCTACATGGCCAACCGCAGGCTGTCTTCACCCTGTCTGACAGCCATGGGAGCTGATTGCTCAGCCCCCAGCTCCGGCCCCCAGCCTGCTTGGTGTTGGAGAAGCAATAAAAGGCCTCCCAGAGCCTGGCTGTGATAGAGTGGGATCCCTACTGGGTGCCAGACGGGCCTGTCACTGGCATCCACACCGGTGAGCACACCCACCTCCAGGACCCCCAGGATGACCACGTGAGGGCTGAGAGCCAGGCCGATGCGCTGGCTCAGTACAGAACACTTGGCCAGATCTGGAAGGAAGAACTGGAATTGAATCTGAGGCAGGCTAGTAAGAAGCTAGGAAAACTCCTTGGCAAGTGCAATGGGGAAACAGAGAGCTGAACAAACTGGCCGAGCAATTTACGGCTTGGTCACCAGGGCGGAAAGCCCCCGGTGCCTTGCAGTGGGCAAAACGGGGGCAGGATCTCGCCCCCGGTGACCTTTCCTCCCCTGGTATATTGTTGGTCATTTTCTCTCTGAGAGAAACCAGAGGGGTTTCTCTCTGGTTTCTCTCTGAGAGAAACCAGAGGGGTTTAGATCCCTCTGACTTTTCTTCCCTAGAGTTAACATCTAGGGCTCAGGTGTATTTAAGTTCTAGGCCCAGAAAAGCACCAAAATGAGGTGGACAATGCCAGGACCAGCTGCAATGACTAATGACCCCCCTGCCCTGGTGCTAACCAATCAGTGGAGACCACAAGCCCAATAGGGCACACCTGGAAACCTGATGCATTGTCTGGCTACAACCGCCCTGAGCCCTCCCCTAAAATTCCCAGCCGCAGGAGAGAGAGAAAACCCTCAAGACAAAGGCCCTAGCTCCCTCTCCCTCTGGGGAGGATGTCCGCGTCTTTCCCTTCCCTCTCTTCTTCCCCAACAGGCGTGCATCTTCTACACTCTAAGGGACCCCAGGAGACTTGCAACCAGCAGAATAATGGGCAATGGCAGCTGGTCCCAGGCTAACCCCCTAAACCTACTGCCAAGGCTCCCGTTTCTCTGCCTCTCCAGTGAGCTGACAGCAGCTCCGCTTGGCATCCTGTTGTTTTTTTCTATTCTAGGCCCTTCCTTGTTTCACTGCCCCCAGTTTTAATAAACGTACTCTCAAAATCACCTGGACTTTTGTTGTGAAATCTTTCCTGCTCGAAGTCAAGAACACGCACACTACCAGCTGGCCCTAGGCAGACCCACTCCAAGCCTGGTCCCCTTTCCGATAACAAATCCCACTCCTTCCCTTCCCAGCCATGTGCCCAGAGCCAGTTCTGAGGCTCAGTTTTCCTCCTCTGACAAATGGAACTAATAATCCATTCTCCCCAGGGTGAGCAGGGGCCACAGTGAGGTACAGCAGGAGCCCTCAGTAAAGTGGCCAATTGCCTGCCTTTCCCAAAGAGCTATTTCTCTTCTCTGCACCTGGGGAACTTTTCCTTTCAAGTTTGAAGGAGATATAAAAGGCAGGCCCGAGAAGGGGTCCCTGAGGCAGAGCCAAGACAGACACACCCCCCCACTGCAGCCCCAAAGAGGGGGTGCACTATCAGAGCACAGGCTCTGTGTGCCGGGGGCAGAGAGCCGCTGGGCCCGGGGAGGGGCAGGGCTTACCTGCACGGTGACCCCCTCTGTCAGGGCAGCCCAGGATCCCAGGAGGCACAGTGCCGCAAGCAGAAAGGTGTTCATGGTAGCAGTGCCTGAGAGGGGAGTGGCTGTTCTGGGCACCAAAGGGAAACAGCTGGCCTTTTAAAGAAGGCAGGGTTACTGAGTAACCCAGGAGCCTTTGTCAGAGTCTCATCTGCTCACCTGTCATTTAAGGCCTAATCGGGTAAGGCTCAAGATAACCCTAGCAGATAAAAGATCAGCCCCCTCCCTGGGCACCCAATCTGACACACAGCCAGCTGCTCTGGGCGGGGCCCTGTGCTGGGGCAGGTCTGCAGACCCAGCCCAGCCCTTGTGACGGGTTCCCAACAGCCGCAATGCGGGGTGACCAGGGGAGTGGGAGGGGATCAGGGTAGAGAACGGAGGGGCACCTCACCCAACCCCGGGTTAGGGCAGTTCAGCAAGGGTTCCCAGAGGGGGTCGTGCCAGCTGCCAGTTCTGGAGAATGGGTGCACGTTTTCTTAGAGAAGGGATAGGAGTGGAGGCCATGTCTTGCAGATGATGCTGCATTTATGACCCCCAGGAGGTGAGACAGGTCTGGGATATTCAGGGAAATGTGAGAAATTCAGGCTGAGGCGGGAAGGAGCTTTTGAGAGGGCTTCAGATGATGAGAGATGAGGCTGCAGGCCAAGGCAGGCGCTAGGTGTCGCCACTATGACTCTGAGGAAGGACAGAGCTCTGCCATCCCACAGGCCTGGGTTCAAGTCGTATCTACCACGCAGTTTCACCGTGTGTGAACTTGGGCAAATTGTTTCCCCTCTCCAAGCCTCAGTGTCCTTTGTGTCCTCTGTGGGGACTGATAACAATACCTGCCCCACGGGGTTATTTTGAGGATTAAATGAGGCTATAAAAATGTTTAGCTCAATGTCAGACTCACGGAAAGCACTCAGTAAAGAGTAATTTGGTTATTATTATTCTTTTCAATAGCAGCATCCACTTCTGGTCCCCATTGGCCTCTCTGGTGACCTGCCCATCTGAGCCACAGCCTGTCCTCACCCTGTGCTGATTCCGCTGTCCTGCCTGTCCTTCAGCCTCAGATTGTCCTTAAATGAGCTCCTTCCCTCTTCCTCCCAATTTCCTTCCCCTGGTCCCCCAATCTCCTCCTCTTCAGTTCTTCTGTTTCTGACTGCTGACCACTTCCCCACGGGTGCCCTCCCCTCTGCTCGGCCTCCCTCAACGAGCCCAGCCCAATCTGCCCACCCTGGCCCTTCCTGCCAGGCTCACCTCCCCAACTCTTCCTGAACACGCTTCCTTACCCTTAAACACGATGTTCCATCTGCCTGGAAGTCTTTCCCTTTCTGTCTCTAGGTGAACTCCTACTCAGACTTTGAGGCCCAGATCAAATAACCCCCATGGCATCTCTAGCTAAATAACCTCTCTTAGTCCCCATAGAACCAAGTACATTCCCCTGCCCGGGATCTTGTTGGGTGGGATTACCTGGCTGTGTGTCTATCTCCCCCTCTAGACTCCGACGCCCATGAGGACTGGCATGGCGTGTGTTCATTTGTGTTCTGTTGTGAGCAGGGCCCCCAGACAGGGAGGAAGGGAGGTCCTGGGAACTCTGTGGCTCTAATCTACAAACAAGCCTGGCGGGAAGCCAGAAAGGGGCCAGGGGTGGAAATCCCTGGGTGGGGAGTGTCAATATTGAAGGAGGAATGGGAGGAAGCAGAGCGTGACAAGGAGGGAACTTCAAAGGGGTCCAGCCCAAGGGAGGGGCAGGAAACACCAGTTCTATCTGCCTTCCCAGGTCCCCCTCAAGCTAGACTGGACTCCTCCCCTTACTGAGGGGTGTGTGTGTGTTGAGGTGTCTGTGTACACTGAGGTAAGTGTGTGTGTTTATGAGGTCTGTGTATGTGCTGAGGTATAGTTGTGTGCTGAGGTGTGTGTGTACGCTGAGGTAGATGTGTGTGTACACTGACGTGTGTGTGAGGTAAGTGTGTGTGTTTATGAGGTCTGTGTATGTGCTGAGGTATAGCTGTGTGCTCTGAGGTGTGTGTGTATGGTAAGGTAAGTGTGTTTACTGAGGTATGTGTATTTGTTAAGGTGTGGGTGTGCTGAGGTCAGTGTGTGTATGCTGAGGTGTGCATGTGTGCTAAGGGGTGTGTGTGTTCAGATCGGGGGGGTGTGTATGTGCACGCGCGCTGAGGTGTGCATGTGTACTGAGGTGTGTATATGCTGGGGTAGGGGGGTGTGTGTGTACTGAGGTGTGTATATGCTGAGGTGGGGGGTGTGTGTGTGTGTACTGAAGTGTGTGTATGCTCAGGTAGGTGTGTGTGTTTACATTGAGGACTACACTCCAGTCCAGCCATGTGGTCGCCTGTGCTAGCTGAGAGCTGGGTGGCCGTGATCCCCGGGGGAGGGTCAGGGGTGAGGAGTCTGGGTTGAAGGTGAGGCTCAAGATACACCTAAGGGCAGAACTAATTTCATTGGGACGAGGTGAGCACCAGGCACAGGTTGGCGGTGCCACTGACGGTGGTGCTGGGTTGGGATTGAGGTTAGAGAAGGTGTTGTAGCGGTGAGTGATAGGAGTTTAAGTTAGGCTTCAAGCTGAGGTGTGGGTTAGGGTCAGGTGTAGAATGGAGCTGAGGCTGGGGATGTCGAAGTGTCAGGATTAGGTTCAGGATCAGGGGTGCCGCTGGGATTGGGTTGCTGCAGGGATTGTAACTGACATGGAGGTTTGGGATCAGGTTGGGGTTCCTTGGTAGGGCTGGGGTTGAGCTGAGCCTGAAGATAAAGAAGTGTTTGGGTTGGGGGTTGGATCTGGGACTAAGTGTGGGCTCAAGCTGGGTTGGGGTTTGCTTTGGCACTAAGGGTGGGACTCAGGTGGGGCCGCTGCAGGCTAAAGGAGCCCTCTTTCTGGCTGGCTTTGATCGTTCAGTCTTTTCTTTCCTAAGGTGCAGCAGGGTTAGGGACACAGGCAAGGGACATTGGTTCCTGAAGCCTCTTTCTTCCTGGGTGCCCTGGCCAAGGCTTACCTGGTGCGAGGCACGGGTGGAAGGGGCATGAGGTTATGGGAGTGATGAAAATCCACACTGTGGGAAAGAGGGAATGGCTCCTAGGCCTCAGCCCTTTGGGCCCCGCCCTCCCCAATCCCTCTTCTGACATCCACCCTGGGAAATGGGAACAACTCCCTTTCCCTTACCTGCCCCCTGCTCCCAATTTCCCAGCTTGGCCTGGGCCCAGGTATGAATTTGGGCCACCACACACCCCTTCTGCATGGAAGCTTCTGGACACTAGATCATGGGTCCTCCCAGTTTTCCGGCTTCCTGGCCTCCAGGCCCACACCTGAGCTCCGAGGCATTAGTCCCCAGAGCCACCCTTGACCCTTCATCATTCCTTATTAGTAGCAGATGGGTCTGAGGTCATTTGGGCTTCCCACATCCAAGGCCACCTCTTCTGGCAAACTCTCACTCCTCTGTAGCCTTCCAGGCTTTGCCACCTTTACTACCCATCTCCCCACCTGAAAAGCCATCATGGCTGCCAAAAACCTCCAGAAGAAAACAGGATTCAAGGCCCTTCATGATCAAGCCCCTGCTCATCCTTCGACCGGGCCCCCAGGAGTGGACCAGGTAGAAGGGGCCCAGACCTGCAGTGCTGTGGGTGAGAACGCGCCGACTCTGGAGCCAGGCAGCCCCGGGTTAGAGTCCAGCCTCCTCAGTGAACAGCTGCTTGACCTTTCTAAGCCTCAGTTTCTGCATCTGAAAAATGCAGATAATAACAACTGCAGTGTGAATTTCAAATTGTCTAGAAAACTTTCCTCACTGATGCCCAGCCCCAGCAACTCTGGGTTAGGACCACCTCTTGTCTCCACCGCCTCTGGGCTCCACCGGCCTCCTACCCTCTCCACTATAAAGCTTAGCAGCGATCTGTCTTGCCCAGGGGCCTGCCCATTCCTGAGAGCAGAGCCCTGTTTTGCCTCATCGAGGCCCTAGAACTCACACAAGGCTTGGCACTTAGCAGGTGGCTCTGAGCCCTCAGGGGACCGGGACGGTTGTGGTATGTCTACTAACTGTAACATCAGCCAGAGCAGTGAATGTTCACTCACTCTGGGCTGTAAGGCGCGGAAACCGGCCCCAGCCCCAGAGCCCAGGCCCCCTCACCCTTCCGCCAGCAGCCACCGAGGGCTCCCAGCTGCCGGGCCACCCTCTGGTGTTGCTGAAGAGGCGGATGCTGTGCCCTTTGGTCCAGAAGTTGTTTAACTCCTGGGTTTGGGTAATCGCAACATGGTTCCAGTGTCCACTAAGGCCCAGTCCTCCCAGTCCTCCCCCTGGCTCTCCTCCCTGCTGATCCCAGTACGAACAGAGCCCAGTTGGGAGCCCATACTGACCTGTGTGACCTTGAAGAGGATGTGGCCCCCATTTCACAGCCTCCCCATTCTGCTGGTTAACATGTCCTGGAGGCTATGACAACCTCGGGTGCCTCTGGGAGCCCAGAACTGCCCTAGGGAGACGTTATAATGTTTGTGAATCTCCTAACAGCTCTGGGAATACCTAAAAAATAACTGGAGAACCCCACTTCATGGATGAGCAAACTGAAGTTCAGAGGCCCAGAGAGAGGCAAAGGTGGCTCCGGAGACCAATGCCTCAGAATGTTACGGAACAAAAGGACCCGTGCGGGGCGGGGGGGAGGGGGTGGGGTGGCCAGATGCTATTACCGAAACGACACCCTCCTTCCCCGGGACCCCTCGGTTGTGGGTCCTTTGCCCGACGCCCTTGGCATTATGGCTCTGAATGGCAGTTTGGTGAAAAGGAAAGGAACTATTTATTCACAAGTTTTACAGGTTTGATTAATGGTTAAATGTCACCCTTAAACCTCAAAATCCCTTCAAAACAACCACCAGCACACACACCGTCCTGCCTTCCCCCCTTTGCCCAGTTAGGCCAGTCAGGCCAGTCAAGGTACCGTCCTTCACAAGAAAGAAAAGAACAGAAGTCCGGGGCTCGGCTAGGCAGGCCTCTCGCAGGTCTCAGCACCATCCACTGCGTCGCGGCGATCTCCAGCTCTTAATCCATAACATGTGGCAC